ATTTCTGAAAGAGTCCTACGTCTACCTTTAATTTATTATCGATTTAGACCGTAGGACGTTCCCCACGATTATTCGGGATATTATTACTATTTGCGACTGTCGTAAATTTTCCGGGTTTCCACTAAGTACTATAAAGAGAGGTGAGTAGTAGAAAGATACGGTCTAAGTAGTCCCACCCCTGCGCCGTCCGTAGTTCCTTCCTTCGGAAAGGCGAACATTAATAACACCTTTTTCTAGACTTTTATTGAACTAGACAGAAACCCTCTGTTATTACACGTAAACAATTTTTTGTCGTGTAGACCAAAACGAAAATTTTTGACGTACCAACGTACCCCATCCGCGAGTAGGTATTTGGACAGGTTCCCACCTGGAGCTGACTGTAAGGTCGGGTATGTCATATTGAAACAAACCGTAGTAATACGCAGTCCTTATAGTTTTTTGTCTAGGTGACGTTTATCGACCGGGGAGTCGCAAAATATGGCAACCAAACAAGACGTTACTGATCTCCCTAAATAAGTGGAACCAGAGGGGTGTTGTCGGAAAGAGCACTCGAGAATGAAAGGGAACTCAAATTTCGAACGGGGGGAGGTCCTTTTTACCTGGACTTTATATTACGGTAGCCGGAGAGACCCGACAGGGAATGGTCCCAAAACATAAAAAAAAGGACTTCGAAGAGGTGTAGGTTATGAACGCCGAGTCATAACGGACTAAATTCTTTCGTCGCCGACTTAGTTCATTTTCATCTATAAGGTTTTTATATACAACTAACAACACCAATTTGTAAAATGGCGAAGTCTAGTCGAATTAGTGGAATCGTTTCGGCTGTTATGTAAACTAGAGTTGAAAATTTTATTTATGTATATAGTTGACAATCATAAATGAGGGTATAAAAAGTCGTATTTATTTTTTGTTCTTTAAGTATAAAAAGTATAAAACGATGGAGTTGCTTAAACGTGACCAAAAACGGACGAATAGTCATGCAAAATTGTACAGATTTATTGTTTTCTCTATTCACTTACGAGATTAATTGAATGTAAAAATTTTTTCCACGGAATATAAAGACGGAAAAATAAAAAAAACGGAAAAAACTTTTAAACCACCAACTAAAACATTTATTACATCTAAGAGACGCGTCAGTTATTATAGACAAAAACATACCTTTTATTTCTCAAATCTGGGAGATTAGTGAGCACTATAACAAAAAAAAACAAAAATATGAGTATGACAAAAACGAAATTAGAGGTTATCCATTATTCGCAGGACATAATGCAAGCGTCTCGAGCTATGTACGTGTTTAAAAAAAATGTCCAATAAAAATTATTTTCTAGTTTTGACATAGATAAATCCACGCGTTCCGTCGTCAAAAGGTTTATGTTATAAATGTCTCGTTTAGTTATTAGAATGGTATTTCCCGTAAAGGAATGACTAATGATGACATTTGTAGGGACTGGGCGTGTAATTGATACTTGTACTCCGGATAGACACCCCGAATCGGACTCACTACCATTGAATCATAATGTCATACCAATGAGTTCATTACATACACTGCTCTAGAACCCTCGATTTCTGCGCCTTTGTGCTTCTTGTCCGAAACTGATACCTACACCATCTGTACTTTCCCATAACCTTCAAGCAGAGCCGGGCCCACACCCTAACCCTGTTCCTGGCTGACGACCGTTGCGTTGAGAACTCCAAGCGATCAATGGGAATATATCAAATACGAGACAGATCGATTGTCTGTCGAAACCCATTAGCTTTGTAAGGTAGATCATATGTGCAGTCAAACAAGGGGCTAATTCGTCCGAGGCTAAACAGAGATCAGTCCACTAAAACCAAATGAGAGGCTTGATATACTAACGTAAACAAACGAGGATAGCAATACGACTGCCTGTCTTCACAGACGTAAAATTAGTATAAGTTTCCTCATTCACTAACAACATGACTATTTGCAATCATGTTCATTTGTCCCGCGGGTCGATCAGCAAAGTACTGTTATCCATGCTTCGATATGAGGGTCCGGTGTTATTGCTATCAAATGCCGACATTGACAGACAAAGATACCAGGGGCCTACGTGGCGGTCCTGCCGACGAAATCGGTGACCTAATACAGCGTTAGCGGCGTGTACTGGGTGCACTGTGGCGTTAGAGAGAGCGGGGCCTCGTGTGTTCTTAAGACCACTGACCTTATGAGACCGCCAGTCCGGACCCTTAAAGTAGTAAAACCGGAAAACCCAAGTGTGTAAAAAAAGTTCCGGTTCCCGGTGTACCGGGTCTCCGGGTGTTTCCGGTAATGCCAACTTTGAAAACCTAAACCTCGAATATTTACATTGAAGTGACACACACATAAGACCTAAAATTCTTTATAGTGTGGTTACTGTACGACTTGTTTAGTTGACAAAATTAGGTATAATGGTACGAGGCAATCATATGGCAATATATTTATGAAATGAAACTTCATTACATACGACAAACCCAGTACAAAAGGTACATGAAGTCGAAGGGGTAAGTGTTTAGGTTTAGTTTAATTATACGGATCGTGATTGTTCAATAAGATTAAAGTCTCAGTCTTCTTTCGCACAAGAAAGAGAACGTGTATGACCACCGACACACACACAGAGAACGACTAACTAAACAGTAAGAAAAAAAAAAGAAAGCACAAAATAAAAAAAATGAAACCGGTAAAAGGGCGACGGGACTGACCTCCACACACACACACACACACACACTACACACACCACACACACACACGACACGCAGCCACACCGACAACACACACACACACACACACACACACACACCACCACACACACACCACACCGACACCACACGACCAACGACCACACACACACACACACGACACACACACACTACACACACACACACACACACACACAACACTAGTTCGAGGACGAGGGTGAGACGCGAGACTTTGACCCTAGTTTCGAAGTTTTTGACAGTACCCATATATGTTAGCGACGGAAATTAAGACAGAACACCTGCCCACAACACCTCACACCCTGCCTCCGTGTGCTATGTCCAATCAAATCCCGGTGACCAAGAGTTGCCCCCCGCATGGCGGGGGGTGTCCCCCAGCAAAGTCTCTTGTAGCCCCCCGCGACCTTGCGTTATAAACAACTTTTCCCCACCGCAAACTCCACAAGCAACACACGCAACCGGCAAGTGCGGGTATACAGAAAGAACAGTACTATTTGCGACGGTGTCGCAGAAAAGGACATGTTTTTCGCGACAGTCGTAGAAAACAACGACATCCTGTTGGTGTTGAGACGACTAACGCTAACCAGTCGACAGTCGTCGACAAATGAATGCCACCGATGCAAGCATTTACGTCCGCTCCAAATTGCGCAGTCAAGGCGAGCCTGTTCGGGCGACAAGGTGGTCTCGTTGGGTCGACACTCGCCGAGTCCTAGCGTCCGCGAGACCTGAGACTTGCCTGCGAGCCTCACCGCGAGACCAATCGGCGGTAAATGGACTGTGCATGGGATGTTTTTACAGTCTGGACCTCGCCTGGCCTATCAGCACATTAAAAACCCACAGCATCTAGACCGGCTTGAATGATGCAATTAATAGACATCACGTGAAACCAATCAAAACTATGCGTGTTTAAGGAGATTTGTTCTAAGCTAAGATATTCCAGGCCCGAGTCAAAGTACTTTGATTATATTATGGAAAATAAGATCAGACGATGTCTGTTACGCTTCCTCCGACCGGATGGGTCCACGAGGTCCGTGTCTCGAGACAAACAAGTTTTAATGTTGCTTGAAGGCCGAGACGAGGGCCGATGCTACAGAACAGATACAGTGGCCGATCGGGAGTCGCAAACGCGGTATAGCACTGTGATGGGGGGGAACATGAGAGCGATTAAAATACGAGATACCTTTGTTGATTTTTTAGTATGAGTGTAGTCGTTATTACCGGCGCCTTTTTTCTATATTTACGTCTGTCATGAGAGTGGAACTTATAGAATCGGATACCGAAAGTTATGGCAGACGGATGGTTACGGTGTTGAGGGTTACACCATGAGACGCGTTTGTACAAAAGAGGTTACTCAACCTTACTTATGGGAGGCAAATTTCCTCGTGGCAATGGTTACAGCGCGCGCGCCCTATTCCCGTCTATCTTACTCGCAGGCAACGAAGTCCGTGAGTTTCTCGTTGCTACGCCATCCTCGTGGTAGTCGTCAGACTACTCCATGTTGGTTGAAAGACCAAAATAATACTTCTGCATACAGTAGGCTATGTGACATTGTAAGTGTTGCACGGCCAGATAGGGCTCAAGAAGCTGACTCAGATAAGGAAATATATGATACATTATGATGTGATATGAACGATAATGGGAAACATCGACGTCTGCACTCACAGTGCCGCGGACTGTACGTAATGTTACTTTGATCCAGTTACTTATGTTGTGGCAGATATTTAAGTAAGCTTTCTTAACGCTAATGTTATATTAGTCAGATTGCTCTGAAGATGGGAGGTGATATTCTATTAATGTTTACGTTCACACAGTCTGTGATTTTTGCCGGCTGTCTTTCGGCAGTCTAAACTGTATTTCCTTTATCCTGTAATATGGGTTGATCGCTTTAAACTCTGCACACGGAGCTCTGATTGGTCAGCAGGCAATGCTTTCACTGAGTTGGTCTCTTATCCTGGAACCTAACCTGCTCCAGACCAGGCTAGTCGTTCAGCATAAGTTACCATGGAGATCTAGCCCGCTAAGAAGTGAACCAGCGTCGTAGGACCGGAAACCCCAAGTATTCCCTGAAGTTAGCTCGCTAAGCGAAAATCCGGCTTCGTAGTACAGGCCTCAGGACTTCAGCTCTCTATAAACAGGTTTATCTCCCTCAATATAATTTACTAGTTTGGCCTTAGTGAGTGGTATGCCTCACCCTGACGTGCCTTGACTCATAAAGTTCGCGTGCACTGATTATTTGTGACTAATCAGCTCCACCCACACATGCTGTGATCGTCCCCCCTTCCCCTTTTATTTAATGTCTTTCTCACCCTGACATGCCCTGATCAGGCACATTGAGGAAGTCCATGTTCCCTTGGTGGTTCTGGTTGTGGACTGGGACTCGAGGGGCCCTCTGGGAGCCCAGTTTGGGTGGGGCTGTGCTGGGTGGGCGGCCATGTTTGTTCGGGGTAGAATACGTGATTTCTGATGGTTGGCTCTGAGGGGCTCTGGAAAACTTGGCTGTTTCATTCTGGTGCCCTGAGGAGAGAGGAAGTGGAATAAAGATAAAACCCAAACAACCTGCAGACATCAATATATACATTACTGCTTTAAGCTATTAACTTAAAAATCCAGTTTTTTTAAATGTATAATGTGTTTGTGGTCAGTGGTAGGAAAAATGTTATAATATTTTACTTAATGATTTTTTTCATGTTTATACAAAAGTGCTTCACACACATAGAGGCCTATGTGTGTGAAGCACTTTTGTCGCTATTGGTTGAAGTAAAGTGGATTCTATTACTTTACATACTGTTGGGTAATTTATCTACAATAAGTAATATTTTACAAGATCTTTGACATCAGTTTTGTATGTTAAACCTAATATTGAAGCAAGTTGTAACTGTAGCTGTGATAAGTGTAGTGGTGTAAAATGTTAGAATTTTTCAATATGATGTTTAGAACCATAAAATTCTTGGTTTAATTACAGAGTAGGTTTACACATATGAGGAATTTGCTTTGAACAATGACAGTCTGGTAGAGTTGAGACTTTACCTCTGTTCCCAACATTATTTCTCCCTCCACCACCCTGAGACTTCGGGGCACCCTTCCTCGTTGGCTCTAAAGAAAGATCATGCAACATTCGTGTTAACAAGAATTGCTGTCAAGGAATTAATTTTGAAAACAAATTCTTAAAATACATTTCCTCAAACTTTTTGACTTGCTCGTTGTTATATCAAAGCTATGCATTTTCATAATTGATTAGGACTTACTGGAAGACTTTGGCAGACCGTCACCCACTGTGATGGTGAGGGTCTTCCCACCGGGTTTGATCTGAGCCAGGTCCCCTTGCCCGCTCATAAACACCACCATCCTGGAGCCTCCTCCACCCCAGCCCTCCTTCTTCACTCTGAACTCCAACCTGAGTGGGAACAAAGTGTGTCAGTGGTTTGTATTTTCTATGTGAATGTGTGGCTGCCTGAGTGTTTGTGTGTTGGTCCACCTGTCGGTGAAGGAGATCGTCAGTTTTCTCTTGTTGATGTCCTCGTAGCGTTTGGACAGCAGACTGAGGAACTCTGTCTTAAAGTTGGACTCCAGCAGACTGTCGTACTGGGCCTCATGTAGAATGAAGAAATCATCCTGTCTCGTACTGAAGAGGAAAAACAAAACATTAAGAGCTTCTCAGCACACACAAAGATACAACTAGCACTTTAAATGTCCGTTCATGGCAAACTGAACAAGTTCAAATAATGATACTGACATTTCAGTAAGTTTAATGATTACAATTAAAGGGTCCGTTTAAGGGATTAGGCAGTGTAAGACATATTCAGATCTTAGGTTAAAATACCAATACCACAGAGCAAAAATATACTCCATATAAGTAAAAGTCCTGCCAGTAAAATCTTACTTTACCACTGAAATATAGTGTTGGTACAACTGTAAAGTGGCATAAACTAAGGATTGGAACAATTATTTTGAGTCTGTACTAAAGTACAAGTAGTAAAACCACAATGTATTTATCTTATATTGGATTTGTGTATGTATTTGATCCTTAAACACTTACTTAAGCAGAAACAATGCGAACAGTCTAATGGGGAAATGTCTTTTTGTTTGAACTGCAAGTACCTCAACATTTGAATACACTCTTTATTCTGCTGTGAAACTGGCCCGGAAATGTCACGCTCTCAGCTGATAAAGAGATCAAAAAGAAGCCCCTCTTCTGAGAATTTTCAGTTCAATATGTTCGTCCGTTATATTTACTCATGCTGCAAACTGAGTTCTCATATGTGGTTATTGACCGACACGACAGCATTTTAGTTCTTGAATTTTCCACCACAGTTTCCACCACACGTAAGCATCGCCAGGTGTAGTTAAAGTATTAGTTTTGAACTGGACACCCACCTGAGAGAGACGCCACTGATGCTCGCAAACTCCAGCTTTCGTTTCAGCACCTCCTTTATCTGCCCCTTCTCGGGTCCTTTCTTCACTTTCTCTAGACCAATCAGATAGATCCCCTTGGGGGTCAAGATCAAGTCTCTCTTGATAGACTGGGTGGTGAGAAAAAAGGAAGTGAGAACTGTGAGCAATGTCAGGAAGTCCCCAAAGAGAACCCTTACCTAAATCTTTAAAAGGGGAAGATGTTTGCACATTTCTAACATCAGTAGTTTTCTTGTTGATCAAGTTTAACACATGAGCGTCATAGAGCTTCACCTTGAATCTGCGATCAAACTTGTTGACAGAGTCGGCAAAGTCGACGCGCTCCCTCTTGGCGAGGAACTGCCGCAGCTCAGGCCTCTGCTCCAGGCCGAGGTAGTCTCCCACAAAGTTTCTGTTGATGCTGTTCCTCCTTCGCTCCTTCGAGTTGTACAGGATGTCTGAGGCTGTGTCGCAAGAAAGGGAAGAACATTAAGAATCACAGCTCCATCTGTTTGGTAGAAACATAGTGATGGTGTTTTATTCGTCACTTACCCTCCTCTCTCATCTGCTCATACTTCTTCCTGGCAATGTATCTCCTCCAGGATTTTTGAATGATCCTGGCAAAAGTGTCGAACTTCCTCTCCCTCATCTCCTCTAGAAGGAAAAGCTGTGGAGCATACAGCAAGAGGAAGGAGGTTAAATGTATCATGTATTTTAGGATGTGTCATAATCTATTTGGATTAAAGCAATGTTGTGTCTATCAATTAGAACGATCCATTTGTAAAATGAGCGTCTGCTTTGTGTTTACATGTACTTCGGTACGTTTTTATTTTAAATACTTTGTGCATGCCTTTTTATCTAATAGTGTGTTAATTTGATTTTAAGTCTCTATTTATACTGCTGTAACAATGCAAATGTCCCCTTTGTGGGATGAATAAAGGAGTTATGATTCTGATTCTGCTCACAGAAATGTATCAGCAGGTCCTTTGAAGAGCTTTTTAAAGAACGTTTTACGATTCTTTACTTATACCTGAAGAGGCTATGTTTTGGCAGCAGAAACAAAACACATACACAGCACCACCTTATAAAATGAGATGGAAAACTAGTTAGCAATCTGCTTATTTACACCTCCATATTTCGAGATTAACTTTATTCATATTTGTATTTATGTCATTGCGATGAATGTTAGTCCATTATCCACTTTATTTAGCTCTGTAATTGGTCTTTAACAGAGATATATATGACTCTTAAGTTGCTAAACCCTACATTATGTAAACCAGATAGTTTACAATTGTGTCTGTCTGCTCACCCTAACCCAAACAACACAATGAGAGCAGTGCAAATGAACCACAACAGTGAAAAGATGAGGACCTGAAAGCTTAACAATGACCTTTAAGCGCCTAGTGAAAAACTCAGAACAGTGTCGATTTGTAAAGTAAGTAAAGACTCAAATAAATGTATTGGAGCATGAAGTACAATAATTCCCCATGAATTAAGATGTGCATCTAAGTACAGGACGAGAGTAGATGCACTGATCAATACAAAAGCAAAACCCAACCCAGACTGAAATATATAAACCATTTGTTACCGATTCAGGGTTCTTCACAAAGACCTTGTTGCGGCCCATCTGGTATTGGTCAGTATCCATGTTGACGGAGCGGAGGAGGTGAAGGACCCCCTGCTGCTCCGGACCCCTCCAACATGGCCACGTCTCCGCTGTCAGAATGGCATACCTGCACACGACACACACACACACACACACACACACACACACACACACA